GCCGCTGCAGCCGCCGGCCGGAGGGCGGCTCTGCCTCCCCGTGCGGGAGCGGGGCATCCATCCGCGCCCCCGGGACAGAGGAGCGGGCGGGATCGTAGTGGCGTCAGTGAATACAGTGACTCGGTCCCCAGCGCGGTTTGCTCTGACAACCCGTAACTTTGTGCTCGCGGAATGACCCGAACCTCCCCGGGGCGGGGGGGACGCACCGGCCGGGTGGGCTCGGTAGAACGGTGGTCTTCCCCGTCTTCGTACTTCTCTCGAAAGAAGAAAAAGCATTTTTCACAGGTTTCTGAGCCAACAGACCGTGATCCGCGCAGCGGCCCTCACTCAAGCTTAGCACTCCAGTACTGTAAGATGCAATTGCATTATATGCCACAGACAAATCTTGTTTGAAGTAATGCAAATCTAGCTGTAATTAATGCTTTTTAAGTCTGCCTCCTGCAACCCGATGCCCTTCACCGACCGCCTTTATCACTGGCATTAAACACAAACATGCATTCGGACACCGGTTTGCTAATTAGTCCAATATGTTTTGCTCAGCTCTTTGTACGGGCGTCGCAGCTACAAATAGGTCACAAATAGATCAAGCACCTTTCTTATTAGCGAGAGCTAATAAAGCTACATGATTCTATCTTTGAATCGAGTTATTTTGCCGTTTTTAGGAAACACCGTTCTTTATTGTTTTTCTCTCCCGTCCGTGAGGGTTACAGAAGAGTTTCTCGGACTCTGCGAGCTCCCTGCTGCGTGCCGCAGCAGCCGGGCTGGCACCGGGGAGAGCTGCGGGGGGGACACAGCGCGACCGCCCACCGCGGCTGGGTCAGTCGGTGGGGAGAGGCAGTGAACAAACGCTGCGTGCGGACAGCGGCGAATGGAAAGTTAAAGTGTACCTTCGGGAGAGTCCGTGTTCCCAAGGAAAATACTCCCGGGAATTGTTTAAAGCCTGTTTGCCGGCGCTGCTGGGGAGCGTGGGCTTCGGGGCGCCTGGGGCGGGTGTCTGGCGGCCGCGTTCAGGGTCTCCAGGCGGGTTGAGGCCACGCTAAAACGCCACTTACGATGCAAAGCCAGGGTGTCAGAGAAGTTGGATATTAAATGTATCGTGTTCCTGCTCTAGCTTATGTTGGCCGGGTTTCCCAGGAGGTTTTTATTGCCTGCTGACGTTGGCTTAACAGTTCGAGCTCCCCACCACCGAGCGGAGGGATGATAAAGTAATTGCCCTCACACCTGCCCTTTTTTTTTCCAGTTTGATGTTACAGACAGTTCTGTACTAGGTACGAGGTATGGTGCAATGCCAGGGACAGCCTGTGCTAAATTACAAACAAATCCACCCACACATTACTAGAGAGTAACTACAATAAAGGCTGAAAAGCGACTTTTAGCAATTGGATTAAAGCCGATTAATTCCTGGCACGAACTGAAGCTATAGGTATGTTGTCAAGATTAGTTACACGGCGTTCGCGTCTATTACAGTCATATTTTAAATAATGATATCTATATTAGATCAAAACAGGAAGGATTTGATCCAGAACGTGAAGAAAAGGTGAAGAGCTGCACGTGCCGCCACATCGCAGGAAGTTCACGTTCAAGTCACAGCGAAAGTTTCTATTCTCCTTCTCTCACCCCCTCACTCCGAGCCACTCGAGCCGCCACATCGCAGGAAGTTCACGTTCAAGTCACAGCGAAAGTTTCTATTCTCCTTCTCGCAACCCCTCACTCCGAGCCACTCGAGGGTGGCTTTTGCCTCCAACAGTGCCAGACAAATTAGAGAGCCGGGGGGACACTCGCTTACTTTACTCCTTGCAACGCCCGGCGACAATATCCCCTCCAGAAGGTGTTTCGGCTGCTGATTTTGGAGCCGACTGGGGCAACTCTTTCTGGTTTAGGAGGAGTAGCTTTATCATTCTTGAGAGGAAATGATTAGGATTAACGTGCTGCTTTCTGCAAGGATTTTTGACAGACCCGCACGGTGAGGGAGGTTTGACGGCATTTTCTGGCCGGGCAGCTTTACTTGTAGGAGGCCTGCAGCACCCTAGCTACGTTTCACTTAATTATTTTTGTTGTGTGACGTGATTAACAGAAGATGGGGCGGTTATTCTGAACTGTAAAACAAACAAAAAAAAAGTAGGGGGGCTGTTGTAAGACTTGCAGGTCTAGTTCTGCAGTAAGTTAGCAACAAATAATGCCACCAAATCCACCAAGTGGATTTTAGGCACTGGTTAGTCACGAAATAAGTAATTTATAAGCCGTCTGACTGACTATTCGAAGTTTTGCATCTAAATTCCTTCGTTATGCAGAAAATCAACTGCATTTGAATACACGGACGCTATTTATATACATACATTTCCCGAGAGTTAACTTTGAGGGAAATTATCATTCATATTTTTGTTCACAAAACTGTTAGCACTATTACTTCTGGCCGAGAATTACCATAATGAGGCCCTTAAAAATGCGTGCTTTTTTCCCCTTTAGCGGGAGCGTGAGTGGGGGTCAGCTGATAACTTGAGCATAGCTGCTTTCTCTGCTCCGCGTGGAGGCGGTTCATCACTTGTCACCTTTGTATTTTCACAATCAAGTGTGTGTGTGGGGGGGGGAAATCAGTACAGGAAAATGTAATTGCGAAGCAAGAAGCAACCGAAGTTGAAAGGAGAGCCAGATGCAGAAGTCATGCTGACTTCCTTCAGCTGCCCGGCTTGCAGGTTCATCCCTGTAGAACTGGTTCTGTCTCTGGCGGCGGTGGCTGTAAGTCAGGCCCCGGCCACCTCCTGCCCCTGCCCGGCTGCCAGCGGCAGGTTCCCCCCGCAGGGCAGTGCTGGAGGAGCTGATGTTACTGCCAGACAGGTTCCCTCACTAACGCGCCTCCCCGAGCTGCCTCACGCGTGTTTACATTCAAATTAACTTTCCCGTAGCGTCCACGCAGAAAACACGAGCAGATTGCCTCTGCGACCGATAGGTTACGTATGCTTATCAGGGAGCCATGACATTGCATCTTACCTCTCGGAGGGTTCGCTTTGGCAGAATTCAGCCTTCCGAGGGGCCCTGAAACTTAAAGCAATCCGGCCATTAAAGCAGTTTTAAGACATTAAATGCTGTTAGGCAGAATGGCAATGAAATCTCCACACGGTCACTTCTTCGCCCTTTGAAGGAAAAGCGAAGCCCTCTCGTCTTCCCGGCGGCTGGGTGCGTTCCCCCCTCAAAATGGCACTTTCAAATCAATCAAGGACACCAGAAACGCGGAAAGCAAGGAGTGCTGCCGCGGACGGTCGCCTTCCACCGTTAAGACAACTTGACATTGACCCTTCATCCTTGACCTTGTCCTTAGGGAGAGGAGCCCGCGTCGCTGCCGGGGTGGACCCCGGCCCCGGAGCCGCTGCCCCGCGGGGTGCCGAGAATGGGCGGCGGGGCCGGGACAGAG